TTCATTTTTTTTTTTTTTTTTTGCCCTTTCCTTTTGGTTTTTTTTTTTTTTTTTTTTTTTTTTTTAGATTTTGGAAAAAGAACGCTCAATAGTCATGATCTGCAGTACCTGGAGAACCATTTCGCGTTTCTAGAAGTTCTCTACATTACTGTGTGCGCATTTTTCAAAAAATGTGACTAAACAAAAAAAAAAGAGAAAAAACTTCGAGCAATCGGATAATATCTGTCAACATAAAAACATGTTTTTTTCCGATTGCAGCTATCCAGAAGCCTATAGTTTCTCCTGAAATTAATTTTCTCTTAGCTAGGTGTTTTTTCGTGCTCGAAGAATATTCATTAAATAACTGTTCTCTCATGAGGAGTCGTTTCGTTGAACAAAACTCTGTTTAACAGAGTGGTGTGTTGGTTTAAGGATCCTCGCTACACATTTTTTCCTAACGGATTTGAACGAAACTTTTAAGAACTAAAGTTCATAATGTGAACAGGTTATGATAAAAATGTTTGGTTATCATCCACAAACATTTCGGATTGAAAGCCATACAGAATTTACGGATTGGCACACTTTTGTAGCACTGTTCTCTAAAATTTGAACCACACTACTTATACATCCAATTTCATAGCTAAATGGAGGATAAGAAGTCCATTTAGTTAATAACCCCGAGAACGTCTTCTTTCTATACATAGTAGTTTGGTGTTTTGTGCTCCTGTGTTTAACTTGAACATCAAGAAATGGGATTATATATTTTTCAATTTCAAAAGTAAATTTATATCTGGATAAAATGAATTAAGTAATTTTAATATATATATATATATCAGATGACCCATTGAAATTTAATAACAAAAAGGTATCATCGACCTACCTCAAATAATATTTGACTCCTTCATCCTGAAGTTTAGAATATAAACACACCTCAAGATGACTCATGAATATATTCGCAAGAATGGGTATCAGAGGAGAACTCATAGAAACACCATTTGTTTGACGATACAATTTGTCCATTAAAGAGAAAATGGCTATCTGACGTTGCCATTTGTAAAAGCAACTCAGAATTCTTTCCGTCTTGACAGCTATTGATGTTTGAACACTATTTCGAACATTTTATTTTACATTTATTATTTAAAGGATATAATTTTTCTAATATGAGATTAATAGTGTATTCTAGTGGAACTTTTGTAAATAAGTTAACCACACCAAATGATACAGTTTTACAATCTATCCGGTGTTAGTTTTGAAATCTCATCGACAAAATGAAAACAGTCTTTACAATCAAATTTATTATTATTTAAAAAAGACAATCTATCTGCTAAAAGTTTAGCCAGTCCGTAGTTATACGTCTTTATCACTGACAAAATAGGTCTTAAAGGAATAGCAATCTTTATGAATTTTGGTAGTACATATAGGCTACCCGGACGAGATGCTGTCCATCGACATCGCAGATATTCTTGTTCTGAGATAAAGCCTCGATTTTTTAAGTCTAAAAGACCGAAGGAACGAAGAAAAGTTTGTAAAGCTATGATGTGTGAAGAAAATAATCTTAATCAAGAATGATCAGAAGTATTTCTTTCTACTATTTTGATGCTTTTCGATTGAGCAATTTATTCACTGATCAAGTTGTCTATTCTGCTTTTTCTCTCAGTTCTAAATCATTTATCTAATTAGTTAAAAATTTGATGATCAAAAGTCTCATTTTTGGTGATCATTTCACAAGGAATAATTTTCGTGATAACAAAACACGTTTTCCCCTCATTTTGTGCACTTTTTCATTTTTTAAGAGAACAAATTCACTGGATGAAAGTTTTAACTTGAAAAGAACCAAATGTGATTTTCTTTTCTAGATTTCTTTTGTATGATCTGTTAGAATCAACAAAATATTCGGGAGAAGGGTGTGTATAACAGACTTTCTTCAAAGTAGTATGACAGATCCCGCCGGATAAGGTCTAAAATCTGAAAAAAGTACCACTCTAATACCATGGTAAGCGATATTTTGTACTATTTACTTTTCGTTCAAACTCATCAAATTCAGGAATACGAGCATTTTTTTACTATCATGTACCCGATGAGTGCCTTTTTCATAGATATGAATTAACATCAATACTGGAACGTTATTTTGACAATGAGTCGACACAGAATAAGCGTTTCTACGACAAAAGATCATTTACACATCTCCATCTGTCAATCTTGATTGAAAAAAATTCTCAAATTTTAGTGTAGTTGATCAAAGCACATGAAAATTAGGTGTGACAGACAATCAATTTTGACAGAAAATTATTTATTAAATTCTCTTTCGAATGAATTTATTTCAAGAGGAACTTATTTTTGTCCAAATATGACTTCTAAGTACGACTAAAGTAATCCTGAAGTTACAGTTTTCGTTTATTTATACAAAATAATAATTAAAACAATTTTTCTTAAATAGCACTATTTGTATTAATATCTTCATTCACCTCTGTTCTTTGTATAATGTCAACTTCTAACGGCTTTTCGACTACAGTTATAGTATGATTTTGTTGTGGAGTGCGTTGTAATAATAATTTTTCTAAATCATTATTTCTCGCTTGATGCTGATCAATTTTTCCACGATGAAAATGGAATGCTGGTGAAACCCATTTAGCACATGTGCATTTTTCTCCAACGAGAGAATAACGTCCAACTTTTGTTTTACATTTTAAACATTCAATGTCGCCATCATTTGCACTAAATACATCAAGTAACCAATCAAGATAAGATGTAAATAATTCTTGTTGACAAACGTTTGTATCCGTTTTTGCTGCATCTAATTCATTTTGTTTTTGTTTATAGGAAGACATTTTTGTGAACCAGTCAAATTTTCCACTACCCGGTCGATGATAAACCAAATCTTTGTCAGTGAACAAGATCGTACGACATTTTTTACATTTATATTCAACTTCTGTCAACGATTGTTTTTCTTTATTAATCGGAAAATAGTCACGAAATTTTTTTAATGTAGTTTGTTTCTCTTCAGCTTGTACCGTTGGATCATAATCAATATAGTCCATTCTCAAACGTTCTAATTGAAATTCTCTATACAGCGAATGTGTTTTATCTAGTCTATAATTCATGTGATAAAATAATTGTAGTTGGGATAAAAAACCATCATTCGGTGACACACAACGACGTCTTTCACTTAATCTGCGAATTGCTTCGTGATGAGTTAGATTGTATTTCTTCATAAGATACATTGCTGCGATAGTTGCACTTCTCGACATTCCTGCCTAAAATAAAGCAATATATAGTAGATTGTTAAAATTGTTAAATGAACGTACTTTCCTACTTACATGACAATGAATTAAAACCTTGAAATTGTTTTTAACAGCATTATCAATAAATTCATAGCATGAATCAAATTCGGATAATAAATCAAATTGTTCCATATCATCCGCTTTAACATATTTTATAATTCGTTTCTTATCTGGACCAAAAGATGGCTCATAATCAAGTACGGTCAGAATGTGAGTGATTGAAAGTGCATCAAGTGCCAGTTTATTTTCCGAGGCATCAATGTTGCCTAACCAAACATTCTCGTCTATAAGATCAGCAGAAAACATTATTTGATCTAAAATACAACCATGTACTTTCATAATGATGAACTCCAAGAAATTAAAGCAAAAGATATCATCCACAATCACCATTTGAATTGTGCTCTTAATTATATGGCATAACACGACACGGAATTTTTTACATTCAATAGTCGTGACAGTTAGTCCTTTCTTTATCCTTCATACCTACAGATAACGCTGCAAAAAGAAACTCCGAAAAAGATTGAACTTCTTAGACGAGAAGTGAGATTTATGGTAAGAAGTCCCATTGAGTGTCATATTTTCTTCTTTATTTATTGCAAAGAATTTCGTCAGTTTCTGTATTATTTCTTTACGCATTTATTTTAATTTATTTGCTTTTTCATCGCTAGTCATACATTTTTTTCTGTCAAATTTGGTTGTCGTCCAACATAAGTATACTTAATGAGTAAATTTTCGAAAAAATACTCAGTATAAGTTACATGAGTACTCAAAGTCGTACTCGTAGCTGACTCAGTACGCTTTTTTAACCAACCTATCCGAACAATGATCAATAAATTCACATGTCGTGACCTCAATAACAAACAATCGTTTTTAGTAGATGTCTCCAATAGCTGACAGAAAAGCTCAACACCTCTTGCTTTCATTTCGTCATTTATTAAGAAGAATAAAACTTAGAAAAACATGAGATCAAAGTTTCAACTGAAGAACAGTATATCGGATGGGATGGCTTCTCCGTAGGTCATAATTTCTAAAAAAGTACTATGTCAGGGAGAGAAAAAGTCACATTTTAGACGATCTCGCGAGAAGTCTTAAGTTATGGGTGTTACGACAAAAATTAAATCCTTATGTCTTACAAAAGGTACAGTCAAAGAGGGTCAAATTTGTTGAGTCATCAGCATTTAGTGGGAGCTATAACCTACATGATTCTGCAGTTCGAAAATCGACTTCGCTCATCAAATTTACAGCTAAAAGATTATTTACCATTAGCTCAAGGTTCGAGAGTCATGCTCTACAATGGATATTCAGCGAATTTATATGAAACGGAACTTAACGAAATTTATACGAAGCTTTAAAACTTTTTTACAGCCCCGCAAAGTTGATCTCTTATTACGGCCCTGCTATAAAGTGTGTAAGAGACAGTGCGCGAGCCTATCGAACATTTACACTGGACAGATCAAAACATATTAGAAAACATTTTCTTATCGAAACGAGAAGAAATGTTTCTTGAACACAGTTGATAATAGGACGACATGGATCATTTAGTGATAGTTACCAGCGTCTAGGTCCAACGAAAGACTTTGTATATTGTGAGAAATAATGCTGAGATTGTTGAAATCATTAATAGAACAAAAAGATTTTGGCTATGGATTCAAAAGAGAAAAGGAAGACGATAATAGATTGAAGTTTGATTTGACACATACATACTTAAGGAGCCTCTCTCAGAAATTATCTCTGACACCCTACATCCAATTTTGACCAAACTTTCCGTAAATGTTAGGTTTAATGAGTTATGGGGATGAAAGAATTTTTTGTCTTCAAGTCTTACCGTTTAGGAGTTTTCCAGATATCAAGGTCCAAAAAGGACTCTGAAGTTTTTCTTAAAATTTTTTAATATACTTCAAGCTAGAGAGTTCGGGTTTGTTTTATTTTAAACTAGAAACCTAACTACATGGACTGACGAGCGCCGATTTTCCAGTTAAGCCTTTGTTGGTTTTCCCGGCAGCCAACAACCTTCAAAACCGGAAAAATCCTTCCGAGTTTTCTAAAAATCCGCAATTTGACAAAAAATTAAGACCTAATTCAAAAATCGGCACCGGTCACTCCATGTAGTTTCTTTTCCTCTTTTAAACAAAAAAAGAATGAACTCTCTACGACAAACCGCTATAAAAGATCTTGAGAAACACTTCAGGTATAACTTCTACGTAGAGAAAACGCTGTATAATGCTCAGTTTTAGGACTTGTAGGAAAATACTTGTAACTTTTTGATGCAGGGTCACACAAAGTTATGCAAGATCTTATTTTGATCAGAAAATTTTGTTCTACAAATCTGTGCGTTCAAAAAAAGATTTAATTGCATAGGTATCCAAGAAAAAGCTATTATTTGAAGACCAGGTTTTCGGGGCTGCTAGAAAACTTGCTCGGAAGCCTCGAAACTTACTTATATAACCGAAAGCGATACAGATTCTGAAAGTGGACACTTCAGGGTATCTTCCTATGTGCTTATCTCACCGATTTTTTGACCGAAGATCACTATTTCTGAGGGGGGAGGGCTTATGCATTAACCATTGTTCATGCGAAAATGAAATATATCATATACAAATTGATGGATATTATTTTAAAAAAAAAGTAATCACGAATGCAGCAGATAATTTTGATATAATAACAATAATTTATTTGTTAAAATTACTAGAAATTTTTGACCTACTACGGTCATTTTCAACTGAATATCAAAATTTAAAATTAAATTAAAACAGTTAAAAATAGAACAATTAAATAGAAAAGAGATCTAATTGTAAATGTCAATGCGCTAACAGAAAACTGTTCGTATTCCTTTTTAATTGCTAATTGTTAACCAACATTTATTTTCTTATTTAACATTTATATAATAACACCATCTGAATGCACATATAATGGAGTTGAACGATCTGCATCAAGCATGCCGATCGTGTGCCTAATGACTCTTTAATTAGCAATATGTATTTATGCATTTCTAAAAATATTTTCTAGAAATCATGTGCGGCAAATTCAGACCCTGTATTGTTATAATATTTTTCAATAGCTGATTTTGGCTCATTATCAATGTTCTTATTTTTATTATTATTGTTCATATTATCATCATCATCATCATTATTATTATCTGACTGTTTCTCATTATCACATAGTGTATCAATACAATCTAATATTTCTTTTTATTTTATATTATTCAATAATTTTGTACATGATCATGCCAATTCCACTTAAAATCTTAATAGATTGATTTTATTTTATTTTAACTACTTTATTTGGAATTGATTTTGTTAGCTTATTTGGTTTAATTTATCTGGATTTTTCAGATGTTTATTAGTACGTGTCAGTAAATGTCGACATGTTTTCTTAATATATAAACCACCATAAATGGATATTTAGCCTTATATACTAAACCCGACTGTAATTCATTACGAATTAGATCTTTTAATTGAAAACCTTTACCAGTTGTATTATCCGTTGTATATATTAAACGAATATTTTTGGTTGGAACTTATGTATTAGGAATGTCTTTGATACGTTTTCCATAAAATGTACTTGTTCCACCATAACAAGAGATTATAAATACAACAACATCTTTTTCATTATATTGTTTATTGATTTGTTATTGTTGTTGCTATTATAAAGACACATTGTTAGAAACGAGAGGTTGTCAATTTTGGACGTATTTTTGGAACTTCGTTCTCGAGCACACCATCTGCTTGAAAAAGCTTTTTTACAGACTACGAGAAAGAGCACATTCGAAAGTACAAATCAAACTGAATTTTCACTTTTGCTACACTTTTTTTACGGAAATAGTAGCAGAAAAAAAATTTCAAGTTGATAAAACTACCAGAGTTTTCATTTCTTCTCACCTTTCGTCTAACTTGCGTAGTTTTCTTGATTGAAGTTTTGAAATTAAGGTTTAGGTATGGTTATGTAGAGTATTTTGCGGCACATCTGTTAGAAAAAACATTAACCTTAAGGTCCTAAAAGAACACGAGAAAAATCGAAAATACTAATGGTATCATTCTTTACGACGCACACGTTAGCATTGCAATTCATTAGTAATATTACTATGAAAAATGGTTGTCCATCTCAATACATTTATAAGATTTTTGGTATTTATATGAATAAATATATTAATGACGGAAACAAACAAGGTGTATAACAAGTAAATAAACAATATCATGAAAAAGATGTTGTTGTATTTATAATCTCTTGTTATGGTGGAACAAGTATATTTTACGGAAAAGGTATCGAAGACATTCCTAATACACAAGTTCCAACCAAAAATATTCGTTTAACATATACAACGGATAATACAACTGGTAAAGGTTTTCAATTAAAAGATCTAATTCGTAATGAATTATATTTTTAATTCCTATTTCTCCATGGGTTTTCATGTGAAAAAATTTAAATCGTAGCTAAAAGATAGAGCGAAGTCAGGGTTGCAATATGACTAATTCAATTTTTCTTAGTTTCAAATCATTAACATAAGAAATCTTTTTGGATTCCAGAAAGTTTTCATTTATTTTCGCTTTTCGTTTATTTTGCGTAGTTTTCTTGATTGAAGTTTCGAAATTAATGTTTAAGTATGGTTCCTTAGCTTTTGCGGCGTATCTTTTAAAAAGAACATTAGTCTTAAGGTCCTAAACAACCGATGAAATATTTGTCCTCATCAACAAATATGTTGCGATGTCGACAGACTCTGTCTCTATTGACAGCTGCCAAAAGTTATCAATTCAGTCAGTAGATTTCCACTGCACCACTTCCACTGTGGTTTTCTATTTCAGCTACTTTTAAAGAGATAATTAGAGAGAATAATAGAATAGAGTAAGAGAAATGAAATAGAATTATTTTCCTTCTTATGAACAAATAGCGCCGGACAACTGATGCTAGTGAACTCTAAAAAATTTTCGAATCCAAAACACATTTTTCTTCCATTTATGTAGCTTATGGCGCCGAATCTGGACTTGTGTTTGAAAAAAGAACGTACAACGTCAATCTTCAGTACTCAGAGAATTTCCCGCTGTTTTCAAAAAAACTTGTGTATTTCTCTAGATCACCTAGTGCACATTTTGCAAAAAAAAAGTGATTAAACAAGAAAAAATACAAAATTCCCAGGAAAATACATAATGTCTATCGACATAAGAAACCACCGCATAAGTTCGCATACTTGGAAGATAACAAAGAGTCGAAAGTATATTTTAGAATTTACCAATGAAATTTTATCTTTTCATAATAAATGGAAATGTACTTGCAATCAGACCATTAAGTTTTGGTATTAGACATATTCTTAATATGATCAATATTATCAGACATATTCACAATATAATAGGATAGCCTTCCACCTGCAAATGCTGACAATCCGAAAGCGACCATCGTTAACAAGTGAGCCGTTTCGTATAAATTCGCTGAATATCCATTGTAGAGCATGACTCTTGAACCTTGAGCTAATGCGGCGAGCATAAATAATATTGCTAAAAAGTATAGCACAGGTGTGAGAATATTCGCGACAGGTTGACGAAAGGCCATGACAAGGGTCATTATTGCACCGAACGCTAAAAATAGAATGCCAAGAACTGAGAGACCAGCGGCATTCCTATACGTAGTGGACGATTGCGTATTGATCTGAGTGTTATAAACACAGTTCGTACCAAGCGCACACGAATAAAAATAATTGCTTGTATTTGAAATTATTGAATTTTTCGGAGAATCACTGTACGTTATGTACCAATCACGTGTACCGATTCCAATACACGACAACAGAAGAGCAGTAGCACTGAGCACAGCAGCACAGAGTGTTATTTTTTGACTTGATTTATCTGCTGTAGCCATTATTATGACTTAAAACATAAAAAATTAAATTATGACCGCTGAAACTAAGTTATACCTTAAAAATACATTTTCGCTCACGCAACGTGAGTTAAGGGATTTTTTCTATCAACACTTACGGTGTCGTCGAGTAACTTTGAAACAATTGATCAAACAAAAGTAAAAGAAATGATGAGGTGACGACTATTCAACAAAATAATTTTATTTACTAAAGCAAGCATATTTCGAATTATTTTTCTTTCGTCTCGTCTTGTTTGCCGTTTCAGACAAGAATCTTGTTTAATAGTGTACATATATTTTTATCTTATGTTCCTTGGCGAATGGATCAATCATCGAATCAAACCATCAAATGAATTCATCTAATTTGGACAGATAAGTCTTGCTTGAAGTGTACGCCACAGAATCCCTTGGTTTACGTTGATACTTTTATATTAGACTATCAAACGTGCTTCGAATATTTTCTCATGAAATACAACGTGAAGAATAAAACAAGTTGAAAATGCTTTTATGAAGTACGGGTAAATCACTGCAGCAGACGAAATAGACAAATACATTGATAAATTTAAATTACTAAATGCGCTTTCATACGTTTTAAGCATATTTCCAATATGAGTCCTAAACAATATATTACACCAAGTAGAATAAGTAATTATAAAACTTATTGGTGATATCAGTAAATCATATCTGATATAACAAAGTGAAATAAAACCATTAGAATCATAAGTTGAGCAAATAATTATATGATTAAGGTTTATCTTGCTAATATCTTGTTCTATTGATATTTATAGAAATAGTAATTTTTTATCTTTATTTATGATAAGAAGTGAATGGTATTTGATAAGCTGGAATATCAAGAAGGTTTGAGGAAGAAGAATTTGACTGAGAATTTTTGGATAGTATCTGATAAAAAACGTATCGTTGTAGCGATCATTGTATGTGGTAAGAGAAATATAATAAACCTCAGATTAATCTAGAAAAGGATTGAATAAATTAAACTAATTTTTTGCTTAGTTTACTTGCTGTCCAAGGCCTTCTCCTTCTTTTTGCTAATATGTAATAATGTACACATGATGTTATATATTGATAATGCATAGTTTTATCTACAAAATAAGAATATACTATTGGCCACGCAAAGAAAACAACGCTTCAATTCAATTCAGTTTGTTTTTTGACTGGTTGACATGGTTAATCTCAAGAGTGTCTTGCTTTGAGTAATACATTCAAGCAAAAGGTTATGAATACATCTTTAAGTTTATTTACAACTACATACCGTACGAATCAACCAGTTAAGCACGATAGTAATCAATAGTCAATGTAAATCTTGTTAAATTATTTATTTAAAATTAAATATAGTCAAGCCTATAGAAGGTAAATTTTCTTTGAGAGTATTTTTTCGTTCTTCATAACTCTGACAGCCTTATGAAGGTAAACCCAAGACAAAGCAGATGACAGTGAAAAAATACGAAAAATCACGAATAACCCTAGTGAAATTTCTTGTAACCTGATCTTAACTTAAGATCCTGGTAAGAATGATAAGAAATTCAAGAAATTCCCAGAAGTCAAGATCTTGAACATTTTGACATTTCTTGAGCTCTTGTACCAAGTTCGTGATAATTCCTGAATCACCGTTTTGCTTCACGCTCTTGTTTACACGGAACTGCAACGATTTTCATACTCAAAATAACTTCGAACTGTTTCCTTTCTTGAACACAGCTGTCCAAGGATGAGCCTGTTACTACATACAATTGTATGTCTAATGGTAATGACTGTCATATAAGAAATGAATGAATAAATTCGAAAGAAAATGTAAAAATATTTTCATCACAATACTTTGAAATCTAATAACTCGATTCACTCAAGATCTTCGACACAAAAAGTTCTACCAGGAAAAAATCTCACTTCATATCACAGAACGATCAGTTTGATGTACACATCTTTTTAACAATTCAGTTTTATCATGAAGAATGATAAGTGTTTACCTCATTGATACACGTTTTCTGGATGTACAGATCAAAATACACTGAAAACTATCGTATTTATTCAGAACAGTGTTGTACTCACCTAATTACGTGCGCCTATGAAAAGAATTGTTAGGATGATCTATCCTACCAGCACAAAACCAATAACATTGTTATCTCATTCATAATGAGATTCGCCATGCCATAAACAGTAAAAAACCAATTGACTCAAATAAACTTCTTCGAATAACATCAACTGTATAAAGGTATGAAAATGTAGTCAAAAGCAAATGTTTCGATTTATTCTTGAGTAAATATCTATCAAAAACATGTGTGCTAATTCCCTCGAATGATGGTCTAGGATCATATGAAATTAATGCCGTTGTGCGCAAAATTATGTGCCCGCACATTAGCAAATACCGTATTGTAATGTGCGCCTTGACTGCAAGCAAGAGTCAATAAATGGCTGCATTGCTTCGGCAGCCGGTGTCCCGTTGACAGTGACAGCACAATGACAGTGCCAAGCATCGAAGGCTCTTTCTCAGTTCGACCTATCTAAGAGTTTTGGATTATAGTAAATAGATCACAACCGCCTGTAGACGTTTTCAGCGCTAGTGGTGTTTTTCCCCTTGATAATGGATCTGTGAAATGTCTGTTAGTTCCAAGAGTCGATGAATATATTTTAGATTTTCATGAAATTCTGAGAACTGCATCGGCTAAACTTTTGGTGATTTTTACAGACAATAACTAAACGTTGGCTCTCCACTGGTAACATGAGTTCGTTCAGCTAATCAAGAATTTGTTTGTGTAATGGAAACAAACCCTATTGATTATATAAAAATGTTTTTGAAAAGTATGCCTTCAGTGTGAGATATAAGTGTAGCTCTATGTAAAATAAAGAAAAAAATTAGTGTTAAAGTTTCATCAGCTTCACGTCTTGTGTAAAGATGATATTCATCATATATATCCGATTAAAAATGTCAATAATTCAATTTAATTGTTAACTAAGCCAACAATAAATTTCACATATTCCCTTAGTGTTTTTTTTAAGTTAAGATTATCATCATCATGTAAGGAGAAAGGTCAATTTGAAAACTGAATAACATGTCTATCGCATCGTCTTACATAATGTAATCAAAAAAGAAGTTTGTACTCATACAGCGAAATATACATAAGCTTAAGTCAAAATTAGAACAAACGAAATTTCAATCATTTGAGTTATGTAAAAGACACATAATTGGATAACAACGATGAATTAATGGATTATTTATTGATTTTACAGTAGAATTCTTATATTTTGATAGATAGAATCTGATAGTTATCGCGAAGAAGATCGAAAATAGTTTACAACACATAATCCTAAATTCCAATGGAACAATGTCATACTTTATCATAGCATTATTGAAGTCATCAGAGTATTAGAGTAGTCATGTAATTTCTACTAGTCTTCGTAAGGAGAATGAATCCTAATTAAATTCTCTTATTTATTCAGTGTTGAAACATTAGCTCTTAATATTGATGATCTGAGCAATTTATCTGTAAAAAATACCATATAATTTTTCCACTAGTTAACAATTAGCTTAGTCTGAAAAGCTCGATCGGTTATGCAGTTTACTGAATCAAAGTACATGAATTACGGGATAAAATTATTTTTCTTCCCTTTTGTTTCTCATTTCAGAGTTGAATATCTTACTAGCACTTTTGAGCCTGACTTAGCTAACTATCTAATGCTGTGGGTTTCATAATCACTTCCTGATCATAGTAATACTATTCTTTAATATTTGTGATAATCTAAGTTATCTAATTTTTGTATTATTCTAAATTTTTCTCAGAGTTTAGAAATGTTTATTATTTTCAGGAAGGGTTTTTCTAATCGTTGATTCAAACCTAGAAAGTCTGATGAAATCACGTCTGCAATTCCTGAAAGTAACAAATTCCGTTCTAACTCCGTCACCAGATGCAGAGAGCTGAATGAGTTGACCAGTATTTTTATCTCTGAATCAAAACATACATTTTAATGAGGTTTGATAAAATTTCATAGCTGATTAAGCTTTCCGAACCGAGATTATCGAATAGTGTTCATTCTCAATTATGAAAAAAGAACATTGTTTTGTATTAAAATCTGATCATAATTATTCTCTATAATAGTCTCACAGTAACTAGCTATTCGCTTTAATAAACTTCAAATTTATTAGAATATTTTATTTTAAAAACAGAAAACAAAAGAAAAGAAATAGAAAAGTGACTGCACTTGTTTTACATCGTTCTCATCTATCTATGTAATAAAAGAAAAAACTCTATGTACAACAGGTTAACAAAAACAAAAAGAAAAACAGATGGAAAAAAACAACACCTATAACGAACGAAAATTGAGTACATGTTCTGTTCAATGGTTAACGAATATTTCACACACTGTTCAGATTAAAATTAAATAATTTCGAACTTCTTTTTAAAGCTGTATTACAGCACAATATATCAGACAGATCAAAATAAAAACAACTGTGTGTTATACACGTAATTGGATCTATGGTTCCATAATTTTACTTTTAGATTTAGCTGTTTTAGAAGATGTAGCAATGGTGGTGATGGTAGTAGTTGGTGATGGTGGAATTGTGGATAAATTATTTTCACTGTGTATCAATCGTTTTGTTGCTTTATCGTTTCGTTGCTTCGATTTTATTGTCGATGTTGAATGAAGTTTTGAGTGTAATAATTTATCTACTGATTGTACATGCGGAATTTTTTCATTTATGTCCTTTTTATCTCTTAAACTACCCAATACATTTTGCTGTTGTTGAGATGATGGCCATTCACAGCGTTGGTATAAATCATCGAAAATAAGACCCGGTGGACAACGCATTTCTAATGCACATTGGCTGTCACATTTATAACTAGAAATTGAAGAAGATGCTATCACTGTGAAATTTATTGACATTGTTAGATAGACTGTACTTACAACCATCCTGGTCTGCCTGGTATTGCTTTCATTTGTTGAAGAATATTTAGCCCAACATCAATACACAATGGTGCACCGCGACAAGGAGCGCTTTGTGCTCCTAAGTGTAAAAAAATGAATGAATTAGAGATATAGAGTATAGACAAGATTGTCTTCAAAATACCTTGTACTTGAACCGGTGTTTGTGGTTGATAGACAAATGGTGTTGTAATACCAACAGTTGGATAAACAGATGGCTGCTGTTGTGGCTGTGGTGGATAACCGCCAACTAGATAAATAGATAAAACTCACTCATTATGTAATGGACTTAAATGTAGCCTATTTACGTTCTTACCATCAGTTGCTTGTCCTTGTGAATTAATAATATTAAATGGATTACAAGCAACTTCAGATGGTAATACACAACTTCGACGTTGTTGATCCCACCAAAGACCAGCGATACATTGCATTAATACACCTATAAAAAGCACACCAATGCTTTAACATTTAAACTGTCTGTATCAACAGTCTAAGCAATCGATAGATGCTCTCGACAGTCATGATATAAAACTTTTTTGACTAAAGTAACTTTTTCTAAGACAGTACCCCAAAAGTTATTAGTGATTATAAAATCGACACTTTTATTCACGATCAAGCATTGTATCATCTTTTAAACTGATATTAAATAAATTTATTATACAACCGCTTTTGAATTATAGAAAAACAAGCGTTGAAAACTTGAATTACAAAGTTGAGTTTAAATATCAAAATCATCCTTTTTCGTTAACCACAGTAAACGCAAGTAATTCATAGAGAATTTTAACTATGAAATTGTCTTTTCTCTATATACGTTAGAATTTTATCATCGAATTATTTTGGTGATGTTCTATGATGTATATATTCTCAACTTAGTTGAGAGAAAAATTATAGAAAAGTAGTCTCGAGGACTGCGCGTATAATAAGGGCCAGTTCAAGTTGCCAAGGCCTAAGCTTTTCTGTAATGAAAAAGCGGGTGTAAAACAAAATTTATTTAGTCCAGATAAGTTGAGTTTAAATATCAAAACTACTTCTACTTATAATCTCAAGACATTATTAAAATTAGTCCTGTTTTTCTTTCTATTTATGAACACTTTCTCATCCATCTGTTCCGTTCGGCTTTGCTTTTTATGTTTAATGACAGTCAATATTCTAAGATGTAACTATAACATTCATTCGTTAAATACTACTATATACCTGTTGACTGAAATATCTGTTAAAGATGTATTAAATTAAATAAAAACACGTATCGAAAAGAATACAGCAACGTGTTTGACAAAACAAAGGATGATTACAGGACTACTTGATTAAACTAAAACAATTGTGTGTGTGTATGTGACATGTAATATAATGGAAGAACAAAAGAAAGTCGATTACGTTTTTCTTTTCACATAAAAACGTTCAAGCTTTTTATATTCGTTCAATGGATTAAAAGAATGTGCAATATTCTTTATTATATTTTTACACATAACATATATCCTTAATACTTATTGTAAAGTGTATGAAGGCGAAAAGTGTCTATCATACCTGTTGACATTCCATCTTGGCCAACTGATTGATCACATTGATAATATTTTGAACAATCTTTTGGATCTGGAGCATAACCAGTAGCAGCAAATGCTGAACTACAGCGAATCGTTGTTTGACTAACGTACCATTCATTCGATGGAGAACACGGTTGATAACCTAACTGACCAGAACTCATACCTGAACAAATACCGCCAATTTTAGTAGGCATATTTATGAATCCCCACATAAAGGGAACTATATCGAAGGTGAAATGACTTGAAAATACAACACTATGTCTCTCTTCAGTCTCTCTACAAACGCTGATGTACGATGATTGACACAAATGTGGGTTCAGGCTCGCCATATGAAGAACAGGCAACACTGTCGTGTAGCGATTTAGGGAGTTGGTTTTATCCTCTCAAACTCTCTCACCTACCCCCATTCGAAAAGTTTTTTTCTTTTTATACCCTAAGAGTCTAAACCGACGATCTTTTATCCTAATATTTGTCCATTCTCCTCTATCAAAGCATTAATTTCTTTGTATAATTTTTGTTTCTTCAGCTTGAAACGGAATTGCTTTCTAATATCTCGGAACTCTATCGGTTTTGAAACAAACCTGGTGGTGATGGTTGATAGAATGTTGTTAGACCGTCTTGCCCAACTATTTGACCATTTTGACCCTGCGCTTGTTGTGCATTACCATTAAATGGTGGATAAATAGTATAAATTGGCGTTTCTTGTGTGACAGGTACTTGAGCTGATGAACATGTTGCTTCAACTACTTCACGTTGGCTCACACTACCAACAGGTTGACGATCACGCATCAAGATCTGTTTATACGATGGACATGCATAAACACCTTGTAAATTACACGGCCAATCGCAGAAAATATTCTTAAGAGAAAATATAAACAGTAAGATTAAACATTTCTAAGATCAAATGTGTTTAAACTTACATCTGATCTTGGATTTTCATTTTGATGACTCCACCATAATTGATATCTGTTTGGCATTGATGCACATACAAAGGATGATAATTCTCCAGTTTCATAACAATAATGGAAAACATCACAATAGTTCGGATTCGAATAGAAACCCATGTAGCCTGGTGGACATGAAAATGTTGTTTGAAAATCTGTACCTAGTGCAATGTAACCATTTTCAACCATTGTACTCGTTAATGAAAATTGTTTACGCGAACCAATTGTAACTACTTTTGGACGTAAGGTTAGGGCCAACAACGATGTATTATGAGGTGAAGATAAACGTGCTTTCGGACAAGTGGCTTTTGAACTACAAGAACGACGTGATAAATCAAATGCACCCGCGTGAGCACCTGGTAACGACGGTACACATTCAAATACTTTAGCCTCGCCATGTCCTTTGGGACACCATGCAAACATATTACAATATTGTGATGCTAACATGTTATCCACGACGGGGAAGAAACCTTCTTTTCCACATGGAGAGACACTCGGTGGTTTAAACATGACAGGAATAATGACAAATTCTTGATTGTATAAGATGGTTTGACACGATTGAGTAGAGAATTTTGCACAACTTTTTGTTGATAAATCGAATGTAGATACACCATCATTAATACCATCTGTACCAGTCTGTCGACATTGAAATGTACGACGTGTACGACCAGAGCAAGCATGAAATAGATTACAGAACATTGGATCGGTATGTATACCATCCTAGGAAAAGAAAAACATTGAAAACACAAATTTGAATGTGTAAAAATCACGTACTGTTATGCATTCATAACCACTTGGATTAACACTTCGAACTTCAATTGCTTCATAATACGCTCCTTGTTGTGCTGCTAGACGATTTCTTGAGTATGAATATCGTTTTTCTGCTTGACAATAATTGGTGAATGAAACACAATCTTTTTCATTTTGATCAAATTGTGATTCGATACACAAGAATGATCCGGTTACTTTACCATTTGTACACTCATGAAATACATTACAATATTTTGAATCTGCTACACGTTGACGGTAATCACTTAGTGGACAGGTAGAAAAATTTGTCGGATTTGGAATGTCCGAATACATGATCATGCCCTCACTCATTTTTCGACTATTATATGTTGAACAATCCGGTCTCAATTGCTGATCTTGACGTTTGACAATATCAGCATCAACAGGATGTTGTTGATCTTTCGATACCCATATCGGCTTCTTACATTGTATTTTACATGGCCATTCACATCTACTCATATAATCTTTTCCACCGAAATAATGTGGATGAGTATGATTATATTCTTGATTTTGATGTGTCCACCATAAATCATATTGTGGTTGACCCTGTTGAAGATTCGGTTGTCCTGGTGGACATCGTTCATCCATTCGTTTACCATTAAAACATCGATAAAATACATTACACCATTCCGATTCATAATATCCATCTTGACGATTTTTACATGAAAATAATGATTGAACACCATAAAATATCGAAGAATTTAGACGCGATGTAAGATTATTTTGTTCTAGCATTGTATATGACATAAATGCCACGCTACTAGGACGATGGGTAGTCAAAGTTGTAACAATATTATTTTCGTTCGGTGAAAGTTGAGATTCGGCGGATACAATTGGCTGAAAGTATTCATTTGTTGGACACTCTTGTTGACTGGGAATAATACAATTACCAGTAGATGATTGAAATATGCCACCATAAGTACCTAATAGAACAGAGCTAATTTATGCAACACTGTTGATGATTTGATATCATATTTCGGTACGTACCTGTTAATCTATCGATACAAGCATATAATATTAATTCCCCATCTTTACACCCATAGAACAAATTACAGTAGAGTTCATGTCCAATAATATAATTGTCGTTTAACTTGCAAACTGGTTGTGGTTTAACTCGTTCTTGAATGGGAATTGATCCATAGTTATGTTGTTGATCGTTTAACATGAGAAGAGGTTGAGATTCTGTTGTGGGTAGAAGACGAGAATAAGCATAAACAGATTTTGTTTTTGGACATATAGCAGGGACAGGTCCTGCACATTGACCATTCGATTGATAGAAATAGGACGTTTGATCTTGAGATGGATCCGATGATGTTGATATACATGCATAAATACGATAATCACCTGAAAGACAGTAGTTAAATGAGAAGTTACTGTTTTCTACAAATTGAAGTTGTGCGTTTAGATTAAAATCTCTAGAAAAACGTTACACTGACCTTGTTTACATGAATGATATAGATTACAATATTGTTCATGTTCAATAAGATATTGTTGATCTGATTTACACGACAATGGTTGAATATTTTCTATTCGTTGATAGTCAACTGGAATCGATTTATATTGTTGTTGTTCACCAAAATTTAGTATAGAATTTTGACAGTTCGAATTTTTTCGTGAATCACATCGTTCAGCAAATGGATCAAATATACCTTCTTGTCCAGTTTGACGATCATAACATCGAAATGTAGTGGGTGCAGCAATAATACCATCACAAATATAGTAGATATTGCAAAATTGTCTTGAACTGTGAATATAGAAGCCACTTTGAGTCGAACAAGTAATTGCGTCTGGATTTTTATCGACGGGGATTGAATCATATGGAAAAATGCCACCCATGCATGGTACTTGATCTTTCGTTGTACAAATACCCTGACTACGATCAAAAAATGAGTTTAAACATTCATATGATTGACTTGGTGGTACACCACTATCAACACATTCATGATAAACATTACAGAATCTTCGCGATGCATATTTTCCCGGTTGGTTACATACAAAATTCAAATCGGGATTTTCAATTAGTCTTGAAGTTTGAACTGGTGCTGAATAAACCATTGCTTGTCCACCGAGGATTTGATTAAGATTTGATGAAGAGGCTGCCGAAGCTGAAACTGATGGAGTAGCTGCTTGTACTTGATATCCATTACATTCATTTCGATTTAAAATTGAGTCGTCTTGGCGAATTTGTTGGGCACTCGCTCCTTGTGTGCCGTATATCTGACCTTGGCATTGTATTCGACACGGCCAATCACAAAGCTGTGTTTGTTGATTCCACCATAAATCGTAGGGAGTATTGGTCGCTCGTGGACATCGAAAATCTCGGCGAGTGCCGCTAACGCAACGATGAAATATATTACAATAACGGCTGGACAAAAATGCACCATCCGCTTGACCAATACATGAGATATTACTGTCAACAGTAAATGTTACTAAAAATAAGTGAGTAACATTCAGCAAAATTTCCAGTTTAAAACCTGTGAAACTTTTATAAACGGTAATTCAGAAGTATCAGATAAATGCTAAGTTCTTACCTCCTGCACCTGGACCGGTCGATCCTGATGACTGTGGGCCTGTGCCAAAATTTCCTGAACCAGGTATTGAACCGGTGCCACCAACTCCTGTCTGGTAACCATTGCCAGATCCTGAATTTGTTGCAGAAGATCCCGTGCCCAATATATGACCTCCAGTTCCAGCTCCCATGCCGACAGATCCAGATCCCGAATTGAATGGTGGTTGTGTTGCACCTACCCCGGTTATTCCTGATGATGAGCCAGGCGTTGTACACAACGACGATTGGAATACGGAATCGGCTTCTTGTTGACCTTCACTGATGGAATTCCCGTTATCTATAATAATTCCACCAGAACTTGTACATCTTCTGCCCGTTTCACATGGCCATGTACACGAAGCCGTTTCTTGTGGAACACCTTGAGGACTTCCATGTTGAACCCACCATAAGCGAGCACCACTCGGCATTTTTGGGCACAAGAAGGCACTGGCTATACCAGTGTAGCATCGGTAAAAAGTATTACACCAACGACTAGCATAAAATCCGTCTTGTTTTCCTAGAGAAAAATTAACATTTGTATAGGATATTATGAACATGAAATCGAATTTACCAGCACAGGTAAATTGTTCTCGTGATTGTATGAATATTTTCCATGGTTCTGTAGGTGCTGCAGTACTTAGAGAAGAACCGGGTAGAGATGGGGGCTCTTCAATTGCGGTATAATACTGATTTGCTTGGCAACCATTAGGATTTTGAGAGGTAAATTCACATCTAAATAAGAACTTATAGTATTGTTTCAAATATTTGACAGAAAGTAAGCAGATCATTTCTAAAGTACTTACCTTTGTGTAACATCGTCAAAGAAAAAGCGTTCTGCAACTTGATTACATCCATAAGAACGTCTTTGTTCTCCAGCAATACATGCATGAAATACATCACAATATCGTGTATCTCTCCAGTGGCCATCAATTCGTCCCTTACAGTCAAATTGAACATTTACTACAACTTTTTGGTTCAACGTTGGTGGTAACAGAATAAAATTTGAATATTTTGAACGAAGTGTTTTTGATGATTTTGACAATTGGTTGTTTGAACCACTACTACCATCATTATTCATTAATGACATTAAGTTGAGTTGATTTTTACTGATGATGGTTTGTTTTGGTTCATGTTTTCCATTTGATGTTAGAATAAGACGATTTTCACAATCAACCGTTTCTTCCAGACGACATGAGCCAATTCCTTGTCCCTGGGATTGTTCATTGTGAATGTCGAATGCATGACCATCTTTACACATATACACTGAGCCTTGACCGCCTTGACAATGATAGAATACATTACAATAATTGACATCAGATACGAGAACATTCTGAGTTCGATCAGGACATTCTGGACGCAGTTCACTACCAAATACCATGATGTACGAGGAATTTACCAATGTACCATTTGAAAAACCTAACGGACGGCGTAATAAAGATTTGCCTAAAAAATGAATCCCATATTACACTAGATAACTTGTTAGTTTACTTCACTTTACTTACCTCCACAGTCAACATTAATTGGATAATCACAAACATTTGATATTGGATTAAATAGTAACTGATTTTCACATAGATACTGTTGATCTTGTCCATTAATACATTTGTGATATCCGTTACAATAGAAATTATCCGCATATAAACCATTCTTTGTGCAATTCTCAATGATCAACGTATTCTCTGGTAAACGGTATGATATCGAATCATCCACGAGAGGTTTACCCATTACATCATTTGGTTCTATTCCACGATAAAAAGCTTTCCCCTTACAGTCGTAGGGTTCTGGTCGTGCACAATACATTTTATCTGATGAGATGGTTTTAAATATTGTTGGATAAGGACACATGAACGGTTGATCGACAGTTTGTGAATTTCGTTGGATACACACATGAAAAACATTACAAATATTCGGATCAGAAAAACGGCCTTGTGCACCTGGTTGACATTCAAAATGTTTGGTAGATGTTGACGGTTGAAGACTATCGGACACTATATAGGCAACACCTGAATTTGGGTCGGTACTACTATGAGTTTGAACCCACTGAACATATGTTGTTTCACATCCTTCTTGTTCAATATCTGGAAAAAAAACAGAAAAAAGAGATTAGTTCAATGCAATGTTGAAAATAAATCTATGATTAAATGGATGATACCAACCTACACACGTTGCTTTAGTTTTCGAATAAACTTTTGCAATTGGACACACATGCGATTCAATAATTTGACATTCTGCTCTTGTGCAATTGCATTTGTGGTAGACGTTGCAAAATTTGGAATCGTCGTAGTAGCCTGTAGATGAGATGTCGGATGATCCACTTGGAGGACAACGCGAGAATGAAGCCACTTCATATGGAAGATAAATGGTTATTGCTTGAAAAACACTTAGGAAACCTAAAACAAATAGGTAGTTACTGTAATATACACTCTATCGTCATAGAGTTAAATGCAGATCCATATTCCTATTGTTTATAGTATCTCGTGTTAAAGTCACCGAAAAAGTCACTCTGACGCATCTAGCATATACAAGAAAAAATGTATAGAATGAATTACACAGATGTTTCTCACGAACACTACAAAATGGTATAATCTACAAGAAATAGATAAGAAAAGGGAGAACTGCTACTTCAAAAGAGACATAATCGTATATTCATAATTATAGGAAAACTTATGTTTTACTACTTACCGATAAAAAGATGTTGCCTCATACCAGCATGCGGCTATGTAACAATTATTGTTTCTATTATTATTGATGATTTTAAAAGTTAAAGTGTTGTTAATTGTTCTTTTTTATACTAAACTTAATTAAATATTTGTTTATTAGGAACTAATGTTGCTCTCTCTGCTTCTGTCTCTCTTTCTTTTCCTTTTCCTCTCCGTCGTTCAATCTCAAAAATGAAATGATACTCCACTTAGTGACTTCACAACTGTTTTTAATTGACACATTTAAATTAGAGAAATGTACTTTTTTTTCTCTCTTTTTCTCTCTTTCGTAAGATCATTTAATACCGAACGCCTACATCTAAAATTCCATTGGTAGATAGGCTAAAGTCAAAATTACTACTCAACAAATACCAGCGTAGAAGGACAAGGGGCGCGAAGAAAAAAATTCGAAAACATTTCTATGTGTGAGAGAGAGAGAGAGAGAGAGAGAGAGAGCGAAAGAGAGGGAGAGAGCGAAGAAAAAAAAAGGATTATTGTACTGTTCAAAAAAAGTGATTTGAAAAAGAAAAATGAGAGAGATCAGGAATTAGAGAAGGCGGAAACTGCTTGGATTTTCTTCTGGTAGATTAGCATCGAATTTTTCAAGTTTTTTTTTTATACGAACATAAAAGTATAAAATTAATCTTATATGACCTTCTCTGATTGTGTTCCCGTTACGTGTAAGACGCGACACTCTGAAACTACATGCAATATAATAATTAAAACCCGAAATGATGAGATGAAAAGAAAAGGAGGAGAAAGGTGTGTAGTCGGCATTTTAATCCTCATTTCGGTCACTCGCGCTAAGTTCAGTGTACGTGTCTAATTTTAACGTAGACACATTATGATTGATTGAAACAGAAAAATTAACGTTGTCGTCGCATATTTTCTCTCATTTTCTTGATGTAAATATTTACGTTGAACCTCCCGTATATGTGATGGTGATGGTGGTCATCATTTTCTTCTTGCCTGTCGATGTTTGTTCGATTAATTTAGGACAAAATCCTTTTACAAATAATTTTTTCTCATCTAGTGGCAATTTCTCATTTTGTCTTATTGAACTTGTTACTTTATATATTTGATAAGAAAAATAGATAATGCTCAAACTTGTTAACACATTAAGAACGTATATATAGAACGCATAAATATAAATGTTAATCTCTTCTATCAGAACGTATACACACGGATTGATCGGTTGCGTAAGATATAAATCGAGTAAAAGCCGGAACATAGAGAGCTAATAAGGTGGCTAAGTACAGTTCTTTTTTTAAAAATATTCATAATTTTTCTCGATCACATTTTAGTTTAGTATATTCCAGACGATTCGAATAAATTGATTGCCTGTTGAACTACTGTTGTTGTTTATTAGCAAACAAAAAACCGGTATCTCTGTTGACCGGAAAAATACCGTTACATATATGCATAAAGGTACATGCGAGACGGACGGAGATTTTAACGGTGCTAGTTACATTTATTGGTCACAACTATGTACACTCTCGCATTTGAAGATCAGCATACATTTTGTTTTCTGACACTTATGGAGAAGACTGCGGACATGTTTATATGGGTCTAAAAGATGAACGCTTCGGGGAAACGCAGGAAGAGGCGAATCTCACGTAACAGTTCGTTGAAACGGGTAACATAAAAATAGAAAGAGTGATAAGATTTCCAAAAATCAAAAAAATACGCAAATACATGTGTATATTTATCCGCTAGCAGCCGAGTGTGTTTACAATTTTTACGCAGACCTGAGTTTTTTATACTTAAATCACGACTGAATTGAAAGTTAGCATACATGTTCCACTTTTCTACAAGAGAAAATACGTACGTTTATAAGAAGAGCTTTCGTTTTTTTAACACTCAGTTCTAAAAGCCACTTCTAACAGTACAAATGACAAAATTAATTGACTTGAAATTCAGACTGAAAAGATTAAAGATTTTATTTGCAAACACAAATTTGTCGACTCCGGAATGGTTATAGAGTTATTCGCCGAGAGCATCACTAATTAAAGCGTTAACAAAATTAACGCGCGTTGAGCATTGTCTCGCAAAATAGCCGTCACATGATGGTAAGGAGGACCCAAAGGATAATTTGCCTTAGTCGCAATTTATCTTTATAGAGAGGAGAAAGAAACTAATATACCTGCGTTAAAGATTGTGAAGAAGGTTGCAAATAACGAGAGGGTACGGACCCCCCGAATAATTGAAAAAGCTTTTGATATTTTATCTACCATTTCTCGTACAAATTTTTTTTTATCAATTTTACACTACCTCAGAGAGAGAAATTTTGTTTTGTACGCCCTTAATGTTAGGCTTCTATTGCGGCTCTGATTGTGAAAGTGGTTGCCGGCTTATTATCGTCAGAACCAAATTAGCTTATATTTCAATATTTGGACCAATGTCCATCAATCTTGGAAAATTTCACCAGTTTGATGTAGGGACTACTAAATAGGAACTCTTATTTACTTATTTTCTTAAATCAACCGTACATAATTTGAAGGATAAGACCTTTAATTGACGCATCAGTTTTCACATCATCATCAATGACTCTTTTTAACAATATAATAAAGGCAAAATTAAAGAACATTTAAAATAATGATTGATACATGAGACGATGATGCTTTGTTCTTGAATCTCAATGATACACACAATAAACGTGATGATGTCAATGGCATTTTCAAACATCAAATAGTGAACAAAAAGACATTTCTAAAATAGCCTTCTCAAAAAAATAGGCTGATTAATCAAAGACTTATGATCATGAGAAGATCAACCATTAAAAAACTAAGCTACAAAAGAAGTTAATGAAGAATTTAGCTCAAAAGACTTTTGTTTGACTTTTATAATCCAAGTATTTTTTCTAGATGAATTTCACCAGCTTCACATTTATACAGTCAATATGTGTAACTTTTATAAAAATGTCATTTTTGGAAATTGCCGATCAAAGTCAAGTTGAAAGCCACTGACTCAAACTTTTTCAGAGTAATTTCTCGAACCCTCTCAACCGATTTATGCATGTTTATTGTATGTTTCAAAGAAAAAAGTATATGTCTACATCTTATCATTCAAAAAATGTATCTTAGTGGATGACAGCAGCGACAGGATACAAGGTGCGGTGTATACATATTCAGTAGTGTATTTTAAAACTTCAAGGATAATGTTTATTACATTCCGATGCAAAGCCGTAGTGAATTACGTCACGTTCTGCTTGGAAGGGAAGAGTCTAATTTACAAAAGGAAAACTCGTCTAAAAACTTTCAGTAGATAGAATATAGCGATTTTGAATTAAGGACTCCATCTGTCAGAATTAAGAAATTTTTGTAAGAAAGTCAGTATTAAGCTAAGCACTTTCTTAGATAGCCCGAGATGTCTCTGTCAGAATTCATGACAGTAAGACCTTTATCGAAAGTTTTTGCACTTTTTCAGGTAGTTTTCCGGAAACGCTGAAAAACTGATTTTTCAACTAACCGCGTGTTATCAATACAAAATCGAGAGAAAAGTAGTATTAAAGCAACTAGGCTGTAGAGGAAACATTTCTGATCAAAATGCGTCTTCCAATACCAGGCAATGTTCCATCAAAAGTTATAACAATTTTAAATAGAAGCCCTAAAATATGCATTGTTAAACAAGCACCACTTTATGTCAAAAGCGAACTTCGCGTTTACACGACTTCGTGGCTGCAGGATTTTTCTGTAGCGGAGGGACGTAAGGACCTCGGGTTGGTCTTAAAATGTAGCTAACACACGTGGTTAGAGACTAATACAGCCCGATTTTTGATATTCAGTCTAGATATGTGGTTAGAGAAACATCTTTGGGCAGGTTAATGAGATTTTTTCGAATTTTGGACTTTGGGCGTTGACCATTATTTTGAAAAGTAAAATATCAAAATTCGGGATCTGTTGATCTCAAGCCACATGTGCTTTCGTCAGTTTAAGACCTTCCCGAGCTCATTACGACGCTTTGTTACGGAGAAATCTTGCAGCTACGAACAGACCAATATTGACCCCTAATTAAACGACATCTATGAAACGGTCATAGATGACTTCGCCAAAATTTTGCAGAAAGAGTACAATCATAAGATGAACATTTCCTGAAAGATTGGTTCAGATCAAACTTTTAGTTACCGAAATACGTTTCTGATGGGGAGGAGGGGGGGCTTAAACATTACCCTGGTGAAAGTACTCATACGATGAGTACGACTTTACTCATAATTCGTGCATGAGTACTCATTTTGGTACTACTAACAATTTCTGAGTATTGTTACTCAGTGAGTACTCAGTTACTCATGTGAGTACTCAGGAAA